TTTATTTTTTTCAGTAGATTTTTGTTTCACATAGCCACCCATTATTTCGTGTTTCAAATATTCACATTATAATCTACATGAACCTCTTCTTTCCTGTTGCAAATGCTATAAATGAATGTGACAACCCTGTTACTCCAGCCACTCCAGCCACTCCTGGGAAATCCAGAAAAAGCCCCCAGACCTGAATCTGACTGCAATATTTTACATTTTAGTACAAGACTGAAACTGAAACTGAAATTACATTTTTTACGTTGGTTATTAAAAAGATTGATGTGGAAAACTGCATTCCTTATGGTAGATGCATGCTCACATGTCCTCCTATGGTTGATGTTGCTGAGAATGATGCATAGAGACAAAGGTAAATGGACACTGCCATCTTATAGAGCATAAGAAATAGTCCTAAACACGAGCAATAAAATAACCATTTCAAAAGTGAATGTAGGTTTTAAGTTTGTGGCATGTGTACATTTGGCACAAATCTCCAATTTTGTTTGCTTTAGATATATGGTACCAAGAAATGCTTCAATCTTTTACTACCTAGCACCAGCTAGTTTGAAACAGGAATCAGTCTAGGGATAGATCTTTGGGCTGGGGGTTGCAGCAATCGGTAGGGGCTCTGGTAAGCAAAGCCCCCCTGGGTCGGGAAGGTTGGTTAATCTTTGTTGTGGAAGCACTAAGCTAGTACACATTAATGATTCTTGTAGAGGCCAAAAAGTGTTGGTATAGTGAATAATCTGCAGAAAGGAATAGTAACGCCACAAATATAGGAAAGGTAGTGCAGAAAGTGTCACACACAACCTTAGTTCACTTGCGACTCCAGGATTTTAACTTTGTTGCACAGCAACAAATCTAATCCCAGGCAGACCATGTTTGCAGGGATTGGCAGAACTCCCCATTAGTGGTAGTGTTTAAAGTATATTGCAAGTCACACAGTAACTTAGATTATTCAATAAATTTTGTGACCAGGACCTACTTACTTAGTCTCTAGCAAGTGCATCTTTGTTGGAAAGAATTACCAGAATGTATCGTTCATACAGTAATTCTCTTGAAAGTGCATTCAGGGTTCATTACATTGGGGCAGTCTGTAATGACTCTTACTATTGTGAATTTTTACAGTTTATTCGGTAAGGATATCCAAATACAGTGATTAGTCTTGTACCGTCCATTCCAACTGAGTGGTCAAAGCTTTTTTTCTCCTCTCTTTAGTACATGCTAACTCGGCTTCAAAAATACAAACAGTGGCCTGAAATGAACTTGAAGAAATAAAACCCCACCAAATTACTGTGGTGTTTTTGCTTGTGTTTGAGATCAGATTGATGGAATTATTGGCTAGACTTGACATAAGCATAGTAGCTGTTTGGTAAAATACCTCAAAACAAATATTCTCGCCACTTCGGTACATGCAGGGGGAGGGGGGGGAATGATTGTGGTGCCATACAGCTTATAATGCACATATTTCTTAGTTTGGTAATCAGGATTTCAGCATTATAACTTTGCTAAGTTTGGGATATTTAAGGTAACCGGTGTTATGGTACCCTAGCAGCGTACAGTGTAAATATATTAAAAAATGGATTAGCTAGGTGCTCTATTTTAGTCCAAAGAGGACTTGTTTCATATATTAACTATGATTTTGTATTTTAGAAATGCTGTTGCAGGTAGCCTTATTGTAGGATTCACAAATGTCATTGGTGATTTTACATTTTTAGATATTAACCAATCAGCACCAAGTAATTGCACTGGTCACTAGTTTTTATAACTTACCACAAATGGCACAAGTGCTAGGTAACCAAAGTAGTGATATTAGGCCAACCTTGACATTGTATTCCTTTTTTTTCACTGCTGATGTAAGTTATTGATATTAGTATTGTATAAATACCAATACCAATACCAATACCAATTTAAAGATACTTGAGGAATAGGATAAACAGGCGAGATCAGGTAGGACTAGTATTTGACTCCTCTTTGACTAAGCTCTTGTGGAACCATGTTAATAATTCAGGATCACAATGTATTGCATGTATGTTGTTAGGTCTTAAAAGGCTTGTCACAAGCATGACCTTGTGTATTCACTTCTGGTAGTAGGTATTGCAGCTATAGTCTGATACTTTAAGCCTAATTGTAGTATAGTTTAACATAGAACATGAAGGTGGAAGGTATGGAAATTGAGAAAGGGGTTTAGATTAAATATGGATAAAAAAAAAAAAAAAAAAAAATTGTAGGCATTTAGAACTTGCCTATATTTCATGTACGAGGTTCCTTCTAATACAGATAGAATACATTTTGTAAGTACCTAAGGCTTTTGTACCTGTGGCATACAAAAAAGAAATTAAAATATTTTTGAAAAGCATAAATTATTAAAAGCTTAGAAAGTAATAGAAGATTGCAGTATATCTAGAGAAAATACCCTGAATTTTGTGAAAATGTGGCTGTTTATGTATAATGTTGGACAGCTTGCTTCTCATCAAAAATTGTTGCCAGTTTTAAGAGAATGTGTACCCCATTATTGAACACCCACAAATAAAGCCCCTATAATTAAAATATGGAGAATTTGAAATGATAATGGAGTACATCTATATCCCAAGATGTTAGAATGAAAAATGATTCTCAATTGATTACTAATTTTATCCTAGGTTGATTAAAATGGCGTTTGGGTATGTTTAGGTGTCAGTTAACTAAGGTTATTCTGAGTCACATTACATGTGTGTTTGGGAAGGTAGGCCATGCATGCTTTGTTCAACTGTTTGTGCCAGCAGGAATAAGATGCAAGGATTGGCCAGGGGTATACTCAACCCCTGCCTGGCATCTCATGGTGCTAACCAGCTATCCCTGTAGTACTGAAGGACTTAATTGTGATGTGTTGTTAACTTGTTCATCTGACCGTTATTGTACCCAGTAACCTCTCCAGCCAACATTTTCATTTTCGTTATCATTAACTTTGACTTTATCATTGCTTTAGGGGAAAATGTGGTTTAAAATTTGAAGACCTGCTTGTGTTAATGTTCATTAGAACCTCTTAACCAGCCTCAAATGGGATTCGGAGTAACCAATAGCCCATGCATTATGTCAATAGTTTAACAATTTTTTATATAATTTCCGAGCCTATATGGGGCTTGATGTACTTTAAAATTCCAGTAGAGATTTAGTAGTAACAATATTTTAGATGTGCGTGAGCGTGCACTCATGAATTATTTTTCATGTTCATCCTTAGAATCTCTATTGGCCTTCTTAAGTATTAAGATTATTAACATTAAAGATTGTTTTAGTACAAGCAGCTTGCCTAGATTAACAATTATGATAATAGTTTTAAGGTTTGCCAATCATGCTCAATTTGATTTGTATATATTGGTTTGCAACAGGCTTGCCAATGACCTTTAAAGGCCATGGTATGCCTATATTATACACTGTTGTAACAACCAGAGAATGGTTATTTGATAATGCATTATTATGGAAGATTCCATTTTGAAGTTATCCTTTGGGTTATTGATAAGTTTCATTCATGTTTGGAGAACTGTGACAAAAGTTTCTTATCCTCAATAGTTCAAGACTTTTGCATCTACTTTTCAGGCACCCTAGCTGTTAGCCAAGACATCAGCATCCCAGATGTGGAAAAAGCATTAGTTGAAGATGGTAACAAGACTGACACCACAACTGCACCCCCTACCACACCAGCAGCAACAACGGCAAAGAGTACGACCACTCCTGAAACCCCCACCACCACCACACCAAAAGCTACCACCCCCACCACCACCACACCAAAAGCTACCACCCCCACCACCACCACACCAAAAGCTACCACCCCCACCACCACCACACCAAAAGCTACCACCCCCACCACCACCACACCAAAAGCTACCACCCCCACCACCACCCACCAAGCTACTACCTACCACCACCACACCAAAATCTACCACCCCTACCACCACCACCACTACTACTACTACCACCACACCAGAACCAACCACCACCACTCCTGAACCAACCACTACTACACCAGAGCCAACCACCACCACTCCTGAACCAACTACCACCACACCAGAACCAACCACAACCACCCCTGAACCAGTGACCACTTCAGCTCCTGATACAAACTTCAACTATAATGTTACAGAGAATAATGTCACCTGTGTTATGGTACAGGGAACCATCTCCTTTACAGTCAATTACACTACAAAAACCAATGTAAGTTCCATGCTGTGGACCCAGTGTTTACAATTATGACAATTGTGTATACAGCAATAAGAGAAATAAGAATTTATGGTGAACTCTTACTGTATCCCTTTTGTTACCAATTTGTTTTCCATTACCAATGTTTCTTGAATTTTTCAGAAAACTGAAGTGGTCACCGTGACTGTCCCAGAGCATGGAGGAACTGTGACTGGCTCCTGCAATGGAACTGAAGGTGAACAGTACATCGAGATCACCTGGGGAGCTGTGAATGAAACCTCTTCAACCAGGATGACCTTCAACAGGACAAAGGACTCTTGGTCATTGATTGATTTTACAGCTACTGTATTCATGGGCAAGAACTTTGTAAATGCAACTATTTATCGTAAGTGTTGCAGAACTTTTCATGTTTATAGTTGGTATGGGAATGGAGGTATACCTCTTGTTAGAATACTACATTAAATTTGAGTGAAATAAAAGATGACAAACAATAACTTATCAGTTAGGTGATGTAATCTCATTAATCTCATTGCACCTAAATAAATCCCTTGAATTAATAGGAAAGTTTTGTCCCCAGTAGTCTTAAGAAAATGCCAAAGTAATGTGATAATATTTATTAGAACTGAGGAGTTAATCAAATGATGCCCTTCTGGCTTTAACTAAAAAGAATTAGGAAATAGAATTCTGTAGTGCAGGCTGCCTATATTCACTATTGTAGATATACTGATTTACTTGCACAAGTAATCCCAATTTTTGTTTGGTGGGCTTATGTTGTGCATGCACATAAGAACAAAACCACATGTTATGCATCTGGACAAAAACTGTGTATCAAAGCTGTAGGATTTTTTGGTTAATGGACCACCATTAAGTATAGTTATCTTGAAAACCATTCTAAGAACTTTTGATGTATTACAAACTTCTTCAGTGGCCCTGAACATAAATGCAGAACCTTGTTCCTAGTTGATTAGTGATATTGATGCATTGATTAGCATGGCTTACCTTATTTGCCTGAAATGCTATACAGTTTAATTTTGATATGTGCAACAAGTTGTTAACAAATTATTTATTTCTGTAGTTGTAGTCTAGTTGACCTTTGCTGTTTATGCAAATTCCATTAATTGGTTGCACAATGAGAGCTTTTCCTGTGGGAGGAAAGTCAAATTACTTCGAGCCACTGTTTACAAATGACTGTTATGGCCATAGTAGACCTTTAAATAGTTTTGGGGCTTCTATAATAGTAGAAAAAAGAACACTACTGCTAGTTCATCAGAACTAGTAAATAGTTTAAGCTTTTACAATGTATAGGACCTCTTTAAGAATTAAAAAAAAAAAAATTGTTCCATTCTTAGTTGTGAATTGTATTCTGCAACTTTCTTGAAGTTCTCTTTAGTTATGTTGCTACCAAAATCTGGAATCTCATTTCATAACATTTCCTGTTGCTAATTAGTAAATGTGACATTTTACTAATGGGAAGCCAAACTAAAGCTAATTATCACGGTTACCCAAGTTATAAAGGGATTTTTTTTATTCAAAATTATTACTGTGGTGAATTGATCTCTAAATTGCAGTTGCACATTGATGATGATCACATTGAATGTCATCCTTGTTTCATGTTAATGTGCTGGTAGCCTATTCTAAATGGAAATTCCCGAAGATTGGTGTTGAAAATAATAGTAGACGACAACTCTAATAGGAGTGAGCTTTTCTTGAAATTTATTTATATAAAGTTGGAAGGGATTGCAGATTGCAGAATATTTTTATTGAAACAATACCTTATGGGCATAAGGCTTTGTAACAGCATAAATATTAACAAAGAGTTGCTTTTGCAGGTGAAAAGTTGGATCTTGTGATGAACTACAACTTCAGTCCTCTTGAAATTGGTGTCAACCGTAGCTTCAACTGCCATTCACATCTGTCTGCTTTCAACGTGACTGGAACTCTGGACAGCACAGCGTACGAACTTCCTCTGGGATCTGACTTGACTAACATCCAGATTCAAGCATACAATGAAATCGTTGGAGAAAAGGACTTCGTCGATTGTGAGTATTACTTCGGAAGATTGATGCTAGTATTTACTTGCTGAAAAATTGTGAGAAATGTCAGATATTTTAAAGGAAATTGGCAGTTGTAACCATTATTTTTAATGAATTTTTTTTTCTTTATTCTAGCTGTTCACTGCACGGCCGATAACACCTCCGATGTTGTGCCGATCGCCGTGGGCTGTGCCCTGGCCGGCCTGGTGGTTATAGTCCTGATTGCTTACCTTGTAGGACGCCGCCGACGATCCGCTGCATATCAGTCAGTTTAGGATATTTTGTTAAATGTAGGTTAATTTGATTACATATTGATACTGTACAGCTATTAGAAATGTGACAAACTATGTGAATTGTCAAGAAATTGAATTATATAATTTGGAGTAAGATTAATTTGTTACTGTGATAGTTAAGATGTAAATTTTCTCTTACCAATGTTTCTTTAAAGTTGCATAGCTGTAGTTCAGCTAAATTTGCACCTTTGTGATCTTGATCAAATTTATGAAGGATATAAGAATGGTCTGTCATGCTACTGTGAAATCTGGACATCAATCAGATTACTACCAGATTTTTTTTTTTTTTTGGGGGGGGGGTTTGTTGTTTGGTTGAACTGGTCAAACCATTTTCTAAATTGCGTTGCAACTTTGATAATCAAGTTAAGGTTGTGGTACCTGACTGAAAAGTCAGTCTGTAAGAGGGGATTGGGGGTGGGAGTGGGAGGGAAAAGAAAGAAAGAAAGAAAGAAAGAAAAAAAAAGCTGAAGAACCTCAACCTGGGACAGTTCGATACAGTAGCAGTTTTCAGTACCCCTTGGAGGGACTGTACGGGACTTCCTATCATGTTTATATTTCTGATCCAGCCTTCTTCGTAAATGGGGAAACAGGACACATGGTTATATAAGGGGTACTAGAAGATAATTAATACACAGCCTACGATTTTCTTTTGTCAAATAATTTGACCTCCATGTACATAATTGAGAGCTCTATATTTCCCACAAAATTCTTTAAGGAATATTTACGGAAGTTCTTTGGAAAGTGTGAATGGTGCGCGAGTGAAGCCAGTGATATTTTTGTATTTGTCATTCCAGGTGAAAATGCTGCCCTTAATGATTTTTGTTAATTTGTTATTCAGCTTAGATCTGACTTGATAATTGACATGAATAGCCATTTCCAGAAACTTTTGAAAGGGAATAACTAAAGGCAGGTTCATTTGGGGTGTTAACCGAGAGTGGCTGGATGATCCAAAAGACCGGAATTTAATTCAGAATGATGAACCGTTAATTCTGTTAAAGGTTGGCTTTTTGGTGCTTCTAATATTTGGCTACTTTTCATTGTTGGCAAGGTGTGAAATCAAATTATGTAATGCATCTGTGAGCTTTCAACTTTATCCAGCAGTTTTTTGGGTATGTAAACCAATATTTATGCTGAAATGGCTGTTGATGTTTCTGGTATAGTACTGTATGCTAGGTGTTATAGGGTGGCTTCATTTAACTTTTTTTATATATATAATTTTATGTTTTTGAATGTTTCGATTGGTGTCTGTATCCTGTCCAAATAGTGATTGCCTTTGCATGCATGCCAAGAGGAGTGTATGTAAAGAAATTTCCTTTTTTTTCAAAGGAATTGTATGGCAGATTATTAATTTATGATGCAACATTGAGCAGTTGCCTCGAATGCTGCCTTGCATTGTAAGAAGAAAAATTGAATGGTGTGGGAGTGGGAGGGAAAAGAAAGAAAGAAAGAAAGAAAGAAAGAAAGAAAGAAAGAAAGAAAGAAAGAAAGAAAGAAAGAAAGAAAGAAAGAAAGAAAGAAAGAAAGAAAGAAAGAAAGAAAGAAAGAAAGAAAGAAAGAAAGAAAGAAAGAAAGAAAGAAAGAAAGAAAGAAAGAAAGAAAGAAAGAAAGAAAGAAAGAAAGAAAGAAAGAAAGAAAGAAAGAAAGAAAGAAAGAAAGAAAGAAAGAAAGAAAGAAAGAAAGAAAGAAAGAAAGAAAGAAAGAAAGAAAGAAAGAAAGAAAGAAAGAAAGAAAGAAAGAAAGAAAGAAAGAAAGAAAGAAAGAAAGAAAGAAAGAAAGAAAGAAAGAAAGAAAGAAAGAAAGAAAGAAAGAAAGAAAGAAAGAAAGAAAGAAAGAAAGAAAGAAAGAAAGAAAGAAAGAAAGAAAGAAAGAAAGAAAGAAAGAAAGAAAGAAAGAAAGAAAGAAAGAAAGAAAGAAAGAAAGAAAGAAAGAAAGAAAGAAAGAAAGAAAGAAAGAAAGAAAGAAAGAAAGAAAGAAAGAAAGAAAGAAAGAAAGAAAGAAAGAAAGAAAGAAAGAAAGAAAGAAAGAAAGAAAGAAAGAAAGAAAGAAAGAAAGAAAGAAAGAAAGAAAGAAAGAAAGAAAGAAAGAAAGAAAGAAAGAAAGAAAGAAAGAAAGAAAGAAAGAAAGAAAGAAAGAAAGAAAGAAAGAAAGAAAGAAAGAAAGAAAGAAAGAAAGAAAGAAAGAAAGAAAGAAAGAAAGAAAGAAAGAAAGAAAGAAAGAAAGAAAGAAAGAAAGAAAGAAAGAAAGAAAGAAAGAAAGAAAGAAAGAAAGAAAGAAAGAAAGAAAGAAAGAAAGAAAGAAAGAAAGAAAGAAAGAAAGAAAGAAAGAAAGAAAGAAAGAAAGAAAGAAAGAAAGAAAGAAAGAAAGAAAGAAAGAAAGAAAGAAAGAAAGAAAGAAAGAAAGAAAGAAAGAAAGAAAGAAAGAAAGAAAGAAAGAAAGAAAGAAAGAAAGAAAGAAAGAAAGAAAGAAAGAAAGAAAGAAAGAAAGAAAGAAAGAAAGAAAGAAAGAAAGAAAGAAAGAAAGAAAGAAAGAAAGAAAGAAAGAAAGAAAGAAAGAAAGAAAGAAAGAAAGAAAGAAAGAAAGAAAGAAAGAAAGAAAGAAAGAAAGAAAGAAAGAAAGAAAGAAAGAAAGAAAGAAAGAAAGAAAGAAAGAAAGAAAGAAAGAAAGAAAGAAAGAAAGAAAGAAAGAAAGAAAGAAAGAAAGAAAGAAAGAAAGAAAGAAAGAAAGAAAGAAAGAAAGAAAGAAAGAAAGAAAGAAAGAAAGAAAGAAAGAAAGAAAGAAAGAAAGAAAGAAAGAAAGAAAGAAAGAAAGAAAGAAAGAAAGAAAGAAAGAAAGAAAGAAAGAAAGAAAGAAAGAAAGAAAGAAAGAAAGAAAGAAAGAAAGAAAGAAAGAAAGAAAGAAAGAAAGAAAGAAAGAAAGAAAGAAAGAAAGAAAGAAAGAAAGAAAGAAAGAAAGAAAGAAAGAAAGAAAGAAAGAAAGAAAGAAAGAAAGAAAGAAAGAAAGAAAGAAAGAAAGAAAGAAAGAAAGAAAGAAAGAAAGAAAGAAAGAAAGAAAGAAAGAAAGAAAGAAAGAAAGAAAGAAAGAAAGAAAGAAAGAAAGAAAGAAAGAAAGAAAGAAAGAAAGAAAGAAAGAAAGAAAGAAAGAAAGAAAGAAAGAAAGAAAGAAAGAAAGAAAGAAAGAAAGAAAGAAAGAAAGAAAGAAAGAAAGAAAGAAAGAAAGAAAGAAAGAAAGAAAGAAAGAAAGAAAGAAAGAAAGAAAGAAAGAAAGAAAGAAAGAAAGAAAAAAAAAATTGTAATGAAATCAATACATGGTGAAAACCATAGCATTGTCATAAGTACTGTGTACTCTATAGGTTAGAAGACTGTGTAAATTTTTATTCACTCGTGACTGCATGAATTAAGCAAATGCAGTCTGTAGCATGGAAGTCTTGCTTTAAGAGGTATAGCTATTTGTTAAAATGAGCCAAAGCAAATTTAAAATGAGAAATTGCTAAATCTTAGTGCATGGCAGTGTGCTGAAAGTAAACTCCCTACAGATAATGCATGGTGGGAGTATGCCCACTAGTCAAACAATATGCATAGAAATACAGTACACTTGAATGTGAAGCCTTGTCTTTGTGATGGAGCAGGATCTTCAGGCACAAGCTAGGTTGCCTGTTGAGGCATGTACACAGGCAAACCAGTTGCATGCCCATGCTGAGGCTAGGTAACCTGATAGTTACCAGTAGTGTAATGGCACTGCCAATAGTACCCCACTAAGGCTCCATTCAAATGAATGGGTAATGACTGGTGAGTGGGTAGTTCATGCTTGTTTAGCAGTATTACCAGATAGAGCAGTCTGCAGCCATAGACTAGCACAGGTCACCAAATGTTATTGTCCACACCGGTTATGACACATGGCAGACACATCAATGGTGAGACAATGGTTGTCCAGTAAACGTGGGGCAGAGATCTGCACTTGTGCCTGCCAACCTAACTTACCCTCTAAACGTTGGTTTAGAACATTAGTTGATTACAATGTTTGGCTGATGGGCACTGCCCATTCTTCTGGATGGGGCTTAAAGACCTATCCACGTAGGTGGGCATAATCGGTGGGCACAAGAAGGAGCACAAAAATTGCATCCTAGGCAGACAAACTAGTCGATAACTTCTGACAACCTTTACCTCATACTATACCCCATCAGCTCCCCCTCCCTACCTTTTTCACTACTATACTACCCTCTAGTACTGTTCAACCAGTAACTTTACCCAAATCATTCTCATGCCTAACCCTTTTTGCTATTATCCTTTACCATAGTGCCATATAACTTTTGATGTCATATAGCACATTCTTACCTGGGGGCTTTGCCTCCAAACCTCACGCTATCACTATGTCAAAAACACCACTAATGAACTTAGATGTTAACGCAGGAGAAAATTATCAATAAAAAAAATCACTGAACATTGCTATCTTATCGCCTGCTGAAAGTACCAGGTTAGACTGACATACTTGTTGCACACCAGCTCACTATATTATATTACACAAGGCCCCGGATGGTCACCTCTTGCTCTTTCCTGGCTTTGGATGCTGTGGACAGCAATACAAGTGTTTTTTGCAGATTGAACATTGTTTTGGACTAGCAAGCACTGCTTGATATTGTAGACGAGGCTTAGTGCATGCTTCTATGCTTTCCCTTTTCCATCTCTTGTACAGTTTTGTAGGAAATTGCTTATTGAAAATACTTTTTTTTAGAAGACTTTTATTAGGGTACAATCCCAAGCTTTAGATGTTTTGTAAAACTTGTTTTTGCAGAATGTTCTTTGAGTCGTACCTTGTTGACAATAGTTTGTATTTATTGTACACTCATTTATTATTGTTATTTTTGCAGACACATGCCATAATTTTCCTATAGCAATTTACCACTTTCATGTATCTTTAACTACAGTTCAGTTCTGGCTGATAAACCTAATTCCTTAAGGAAATTGGTCTTTATAGATTGTTATTGCGAATATTGTTCAGAAGTTTTGCTATTTACAAAACATTTGAGCGATAGATATTGTCATCAGAATTTATTTGTGAATCAATTAGATTATTCTGAAGTTTACTTTATATACAGTACCAGTTATTCTTAAACTTTTTACTAACACTACCTCTAGGAATTTGTCCTTCCCTCCATCTTGCATCTATAATAAGAAATACTTCCCAAATTTTAAGGAAAATAAAATATATATTTAGTCTTCATATCGTGTATTAATTAGTCACATTATTATTATTAAACTTCTTACTTGACAATGCTCTTGTTATGAGAATACAAATATATAAGAACCTCTGTTATATGCTATACATAGTAATTTAAATGTAATGGAATGGAAAACTTTATTAAATGAGGTCCTACTTGATTTATTTATATGACTTGACCTTCATTAATTTTACTTTGGAATTCATAAACCATTCTTGAGTGGTAGACTATTCCAGACTATTCCAGTTTGCATTTGTCAACAAGCATCTCATTGCACACTGGAAAAGGTAATTTTATTTGTACTCAAGGATTTTAAACTATAATTATACCTAAAATCTATTCTGCTGAACTGGTTGGCACGTCACTTTCACTTGAAATATAATCATTATTTGTTAAGGCATTGAGCCATTGCAATTCATATAGATATATACTGTTAAATAGTACACTTCTATCTGTAATTATGTATTTTAAGTCATAGATCAGATTTCCCTTTAGGAGATAGTGTGTTAGCAATGAGGTGAATTAAGAATTTTAGATTAGAAAACTAGTAATGTGTGACTGATAGAGTAAAATAATTTCATTTTATGTAAGTCGACAATTAAAGTTAACTCTGTGCTGAAAGTAAATATAATCTGGTGAGATGTACATTTTAATAAATTTCTGTGAATAAGAATGAATGCAAGAACTGTCGGTCATATGAAATGTAATAAATATCTACTAGATATCTCGGAAATATTGTTTACTTTCTTTTCTAAAACGTGTATGTGCAGGTTTCCAGGGGAGATAGTGATTGACGTATAGCATTGTATTTTTTTCATATATTTTTCCTGTGTAGTTTGAAGTTGCACAACAGTACTTATTATTTCCAGTATTTAGAATCAAAAGTTCAGAAGTTTATTCAGAAAACACTAACTT